AAAAAAAAAAAAGAAAGAAAGAAAAAGCTATGATTATGGATTATCTCCTATCTTAAATCAGGATTCTGTAGGGTACAGGGGTGAAGGAGTGGAAAGGGGAGAAGGAACTGAAAGAAGGTTCAATATAAATGTGGAAAACAACTACCTCCAAATGCTATGCTTCTCAAGCTAGCAACTCAGAGGACTAGCTAGGCAGCCATAACTCTTGGGAATGCAAATGATTATTTTTTGTTTTTGCTTTTTTTACCCTCTGTTTGTTTTTTTACCTCAGAGCAAACACGGACAGATGATTGTCTTGATGTTACTGACCTGGGATTTGGCAAAAGCAGTATTTTATTAAGTGCTTCAAATTCAGGCATGTCACTAATTTTTGTTTCCTAAAAGGAAAGAAAAGATGACTATTAAAAATTATAAAGGTAAATCATTGGCAATGCAATCCTAGAACTAATGCTATATACACACACACATATATTTAATATACTTTTATATTAATTTTATATATATATATATTTTTGAGATAGAGTTTCACTCTTTCACCCTAGGTCAGTGGTTCTCAACCTTCTTAATGCCGCAATGTGTTTTCATTGTTAAAAGGGGTGTGACCCACAAAATGAGAACTGTTACCCATAGCTTACAGCAACATCAAACTCTTGGGCTCAAGCAATCCTCTTGTCTCAGCCTCCCAAGTAGCTGGGACAACAGGTGCCTGCCACAACACCCAGCTAGTTTTTCTCTGTTTGTAGAGATGGGTGGGTGGGGTCTTGCTTTGCTCAGACTGGTTTTAAACTCCTGAGCTCAGGCAATCCACCCCCCTTGGCTGCCTGAGTGCTAGGATTACAGGCATGCCATATATTTTTATATATCATATGATATATTTATATATAAACATATAATGCCTATGCATAGTACAAATATCAAAAAGCACAAAAGGGTATAGAATGAAAAACTGATTGTTAGCGTCTCTCTCATGCTCTCTGTCTCTCTCCATAGACACACACATCTATCTATATGGTACTATATATATAATCTTCACCTTATCTTTACCTTGATTCTTTCCTTTGTTAAATGTATTTTGAATATACACTTATTCTTTTTTTTTTTTTTTTGAGACAGAGCTTCAAGTTATTGCCCTGGGTAGAGTGCTGTGGCATCACAGCTCACAGCAACCTCCAAGTCCTGGCTCAAGCGAGTCTCCTACCTCAGCCTCCCAAGTAGCTGGGACCACAGGTGCCTGCCACAATGCCCGGCTATTTTTTTTGGTTGTAGCCATCACTGTTGTTTGGAGGGCCCGGGCTGGATTTGAACCCACCACCTTAGCTGTATGTGGCTGGCACCTTAGCCACTTGAGCCACAGGCACTGAGCCCCCATTTAAAAAAAAATTTTTTTTTTGCTATTGAGGTGAGTTCCTTATTTTGGATATTATTTACTTTGATAATCCCCTTATCAGATACTAGAGCTTACAAATATGTGTGGGCTGCCTCTTCACTCTGTTACTTATTTCCTTAGCTGCGCTGAAGTTTTTTAGTTTGATGTACTTCCATTTGTCTGTGCTATCTTTGTTGCCTGAGCTTTTGGGGTCAAATAAATAAAATCATTGCCTAGACCCGTATCTTCCTGTGTTTTCTTGTAGTAGTTTTATAGTTTCAGAGATTATGTTTAAGTCTTTAATCCATTTTAAGTTGATTTTTATTTATTTATTTATTTTGAGACAGAGCCTCAAGCTGTCGCCCTGGGTAGAGTGTGGTCGCATCACAGATCACAGCAACCTCCAACTCCTGGGCTTGAGTGATTCTCCTGCCTCAGCCTCCCAAGTAGCTGGGACTACAGGCATCTGCCACAATGCCCAGCTATTTTTTGGTTGCAGCTGTCATTGTTTGGCAGGCCCGGGCTGGATTTGAACCTGTCAGCTCAGGTGTATGAGCTGGTGCCTTAGCCGCTTGAGCCACAGGCGCCAAGCCCATGAAGAGTTTTTATGTAGCTTTAGTTCTTCAACTCTGGAAGCCTTCCATAACCAACACAGGCAGGTTTAGATACCACCGTTCTTGCTTCCACAGTGTTCTGGGCCTACTGCTGTTGTAGAATTTATTGAAAGGTATGGCAGTGGTTAGTTATATGACTATCACTCTCAATCAGCTAACTTCTGTGAGGGCCAGTTCTGTTTTTTGTTACCATATCCAGATTGTATGAGAAACAGTTTTGGTTTTGGCACATTGTATGTGCTCAGTAAATATTTGTTAAATGAATAAACTCTGTCATATAGACAAAGAACATTTGGGAAATTCTTTGAGATGAGTTATGAAATCAAGTAGCGCTTCATGAAGATTAGTGCACTAGTGTGCACAGGACAGATGAGGAGGAAAGACTAAAAAGAGATGAATTAAGAAGTTGTTTCAGTAACTCAGGTACTACCCAGGATATAATAGGTAACAAGAGGGAGATAGTTTCTGCCCTCATGGAGTTTATAATCTAACAGAGAATAAAGGAAGAAAAATGGATTTACAATGTAGGAAGCAATATGGTGTACTATAAGGCTACATCCTTTATTAGTTCAGTGCCTCTAAAACACTGCCTGAAAGGGAAATAATACATTTGGGGTATTTTGAGATAATGGCTAAAAACAAAGAGCCAAAGAGTTTATTTCAGCCTTTATTCTTCTACTTATTAACTGTGTAACCTTAGGTAATGACATCACTTCATCTCATTCAATCTCAGTTTCTTCAGCTGTGAAAATGGCAATGACGAACTTATCACATAATATTATTTTGTAGACTAAATGAGAAAACTCACATAAAATGCTTAACACAGTACCAGGCACATAGTAACCAATAGATAAATGTCACGCTCTCTTCCTTTTAGCCCCTGAGGTATTGAGTCCTAGCAAGGAAGAGATTGAGGATATGTCTGATCTCCATGATTTATACACCGATCTCTTTACAGGGCATGATCCTGCACCAATTCTCACCATTGAAAATTAAGAGATCTAGGAAATGTAAGCAATAGCTGTGTGACCTCAGACATATCACTTAACCTCACTTGGTTTTATTTCCCAGCAAGTCAAACTTCAGGGATTGAACTGGAGGACCCTTAATATTCTAAATTGAAAAACAATTTCTTTCTTTCTTTCTTTTTTTTTTTTTTTCTGCAGTTTTCGGCCAGGGCTGGCTTTGAGGTTTGAACCTGCCACCTCCAGCATATGGGACTGGCACCCTACCCTTTTGAGCCACAGGCACTGCCCGAAAAACAATTTCAATAGGTATCAAGATGTTACAAGTTGGTACCTTTGACACATATCAAATACTGAGCTTGATGTACTTTAGTTCTGATGCATATGACATTTTAAATTTTGATTTGAGGCAGCACCTGTGGCTCAGTGAGTAGGGTGCTGGCCCCATATACTGAGGGTGGCAGGTTCAAACCTGGCCCTAGCCAGCTAAAACAGCAGTGACAACTGCAACAAAAATAGCCAGGTATTGTGGCAGGCACACAAGTAGTCCCAGCTACTTGGGAGGCTGAGGCAAGAGAATGGCTTAAGCCCAAGAGCTGGAGGTTGCTGTGAGCTATGACACTACAGCACTCTACTAAGGGCGACAAAGTGAGACTCTGTCTCTAAGAAAATAAATAAATAATAACTTTTGATTTGAGGGTAACATTATGGATCTCAAAGCTATTGGTCCTGGCATATATGCAATTAAGTCTTCTAACTCAGCACCTGTAATATTATAGTATTTATTTACATAGGTGTCCATCCTTCTCTGTGTGGCCTCTGAAAACACAGGACTGTCTTTGTATTCCTAGGACCTAGGCTAGTTCCTGGCATTCATAAATGTCTGTTGAATGCATAATTAAGTAAAGGAGTGAATGGCTAGACAACTGAAAATAGTTGTAGCTGGTCAGGTGCGGTTGCTCACGCCTGTAATCCTAGCACTGTGGGAGGCCAAGGTGGGCGGATTGCTTGAGCTCATGAGTTCGAGACTAGCCTGAGCAAAAATTAGACCCTGTCTCTATTAAAAACAGAAAAACTGAGGCAAGAATATCGCTTGAGCCTGAGGTGGAGGTTGCTGTGAACTATGGTGCCACAGCACTCTACCTAGGGCAACAGCTTGACACTCTGTTTTAAAAACAAAAAAGAAAAGAAAAGAAAAGAAAATAGTTATAGCCTATGAAAAAACATTAACTAAAGGAAAACAGGACACATAATCTAACAGTTCTACTTTTGACTAAGTCTACAAAAGAATTCACCTAGCTTGGAAAGAATCTCCTTTCTGAGAGCAAACAAGATATAGTTCTTGTACTCATGGTAACAATGTTCAACAAGCAGGATCTACTATAAAGTAGCTGAGAAAGAAACATCTAACAGGTGATAGGCCCATAAACTGAGGCTTGAAAAAGCAAGCAGCCTCTGCATTGGATTGAGAATACAATTCTGTTCCCTAATGCCCCTCTTGCTGACTTGCTCACCAGCCAGCAAGACCCACACTATTTCTTGCATCTCTTTTCAAGACCTATACTTGTCAAGACCTATACTATTTCCTGCATCTCTTTCTATTTGGCTACATGTCTGCTTGGATTTGGGGAACATAATTGTTTTTCTCTCTTGCCAGACCAGACTAGCTTTGCTTTACTTCTCTGAGCCTTGGATTTGCTCATCTTTCAGATGGGGCTAGAATAATACATGGCCAACAGGGCTGTTGAGAATGAGACATAAGTGTGAAAACATTTAACATTTATTCATTCCCAAATATTTATGGAAAACCTGTCCATAGGTACAGTGATCTATGAGACAAAATCCTTGACCTTCAGGATCTCACTGTCGAGTTAATGAGATAGAGATAAAAACACCAATGACAGTACAGTGTGCTAAGGAAGAAGCTTGTGAGGTATACACAAATTGCTCTGGGGTCACAAGGAGGAGATAGTTTAAAAGAAGCTGACCCAGTGAAGAGCAAAGCTGGTTAAGAGCAATGTTGGGATCTGCTGCCTTGGTGTGCAGGGAGGAGCACAACCCACCAGGAGGCCCAGAGCAGGGCTATGGCCTATATGAAGATGAAGACAGCACAGCAACCTCAGTGACCCAAACATCAGATTAAAGACCCAGTAGGAAGCACACATCTTACCTCTCCTCTGCGAATCTGGATGTTCCTTATAATTCGCTCTAACAGGCCAATGTGCTGCATGAAACGGAGACTATTTTCCTGTAATTGCTTGTTTTCTTTATCCAGGAAAAGTACTCTAGGGATAGCATAAATCAGTGGCATGACTAGAAATTTCTGTATTACTACTAAAAGTCCAAAACTATGTCCCACTTCCCATTAGCTCTGGATCTTAGACCACTATCCAGATTTTAGAAGCAAATTTGGTAGAATAATTCCTACCACATTCCAAGACAAAGTAAAAATCAATAAGCTTCTAGGCTGTAAATGATTATTAAATACATGTGCCAGAGTATTAAAGGAACAATTCTAGCCCTTGAAAAATTGAAGGAAGGGTATGATCCCATTTAAGGGTTTTCAAATGCAGCTACAAATTCATATCTGGTTCTGATTTCTTACATAGAAGTAAAATAGCAGCAGCAGCAGAGGCAACCATTTATTAAGTACTTACCATGTACTTAGGCAATTAACTTACCCACCTAGTGAGCACTTAAAACTTTTCACATATTAGGTTATTTAGATTTTAAAAAATTTTAATTTATGGCTTGGTGCCTGTGGCTCAAGTGGCTAAGGTACCAGCCACATACACCTGAGCTAGCGAGTTTGAATTCAGCCCAGGCCCGCCAAACAACAATGACAGCTGCAACCAAAAAATAGCCAGGCATTGTGGCAGGCGCCTGTAATCTCAGCTACTTGGGAGGTAGAGGTAGGAGAATTGCTCGAGCCTAGGAGTTGGAAGTTGCTGTGAGCTGTGAAGCCATAGCACTCTACCCAGGGTAACAGCTTGAGGCTCTGTCTAAAAAAAAAAAATTAATTTAGTCTGGGTATGGTTGTTCATGCCTATAATTTAGGGAGGCTGAGGTGGGATGATCATTTGAAGTCAAGAGTTCAAGACTATCCTAAGCAAAAGCAAGACCCTGTCTCTACTAAAAACAGAAAAATTAGCTGGACATTGTGGTTTGCACCTGTAGTCCCAGCTACTTGGGAGGCTGAGACAAGAGAATCACTTGAGCCCAAGAGTTGGAGGCTGCAGTGAACCATGATAACAACACTGCACTCTACCCAGGGCAACAGAGCAAGAATCTGTGTTTAAAAAAAAAAAAAGAAAGAAAAGAAAAAGAAAATAAAAAAGGAAAAAATATACTCAAAAATTGGGGGAAAATTGTAATTGAAAAAATTTTAATGTTATTTTAATTTTTATTATTGTTTATTTTAATATATTCTATTTGTGTTTATTTTTATTTAAAATATTTTATTTTTAATTTAATTTCTGTGTATTTAGCTTTTTTTGAGACAGAGTCTTACCATGTTGCTCCCAGTAGAGCGTCACAGCTCACAGCAACCTCAAACTTTTGGGCTGAAGCGATTCTCCTGCCTCAGCCTCCCATGCAGCTGAGACTACAGGCACCTGCCACAACACCTGGCTATTTTCTGTTGCAGTTGTCATTGCTGGTTAGCTGGCCCAGGCCGGGTTTGAACCTGCCAACTTCAGTGTATGTTGCCAATGCCGTAACTACTGTGCTATGGGTGCCAAGCCTGTATTTGGCTTTTATAACTATTCATCTATTTGTCTGTCTATCTATCTATCTATCTATCTATCTGTCTATCTATTTATTTTGAGGCAAGGTCTTACTCTGTTGCTTAGACTTAGAGTGTTGTGGCATCAGCCTCACTCACTGTAACTTGAAACTCCTGATCTCAAGCAATCCTCCCACCTGCACCATTGCATTTGGCCTATTAGCCTGAGGAAAGTGAGACTCAGCGAAGGGAAAGTAACTTGTTTAAAAACATAAAAAAAGAAATTTGTAGAGCTGAGATGCCAACCCAGATCCCACTATATAGTTGCTGACCCAATTTATTTGGGTGTCATAATAGTATCATAGTTTTGATCAAAGATTTGTGTCTGAGTTCTAGTTCTGGCCATTATGTGACCCTTGGCAATCTACAAATTTGAGCTTTACCTGTAAAATAAGGAAATACCCTGTGGAAGAAACTTACTCTAAGGAAAATATCTAAGTCCAATCCAGGTGACCAGACTGCAGTAGGACAAGAAGGAAGATAATTAATGTGAAGGCAAGTGCAATGAGTCAATTGTTTTGAGCCCTGATGGTCAGAAGTTAGATCTAGTTATAATTCTAGATGAGCAAAGATTTTTTTTTTTTAAACCAAGAGTGACTGTGCATGGGCAGTGTTGTCCTAGCCACCTTGGTTCCCCTTGTGTGAGATCCATTAACACTGTCATTTCATTATAGCTGGGACTACAGTGCTAAGATTATAAGTAATGATTTCTGTGGGCTATGTAGGAAAGGGGAGATGCAGACAGTAAAAAATAATCAGAGATTCTCCAAGCCTGTCCAGAGAAAAGTGTGCCCAAAGCAGTGGACACACTGGTTGGCAACCTCTCTCTAGACCATGGTGCTGTGGTCTAAAGCCAGGCTACCGAGGTCTACATGCTTCTCTGCCACTGGCCAGGCTGGGTGAGCTCCCTAACCTCCGTAGGCCTTTGGTTCCCTTCCATAAAATAAGGCAGTAATAATGTTTCCCTCCTGGGACTGGTCAGGATTAAATGAAGAGAAAGAAAGAGTTAGAAAGCACCCTCAGCTCGTCACCTGTAGCTCAGCAGCTAGGACACATGCACCAGGGCTGGCAGGTTTGAACCTGGCCCAGACCTGCCAAACAGCAATGACAACTACAACAAAAAAATAGCCAGGCTCAGCGCCTGTGGCTCAAGTGGCTAAGGTGCCAGCCACATACACCTAAGGTGGCGGGTTCGAATCCCCAGCCCGGGCCCGCCAAACAACAATGATGGCTGCAACCAAAAAATGGCCAGGCGTTGTGGCGGGTGCCTGTAGTCCCAGCTACTTGGGAGGCTGAGGCAGGAGACTCGCTTGAGCCCAGGAATTGGAGGTTGCTGTGAGCGTGATGCCATGGCACTCTACCCAGGGGCATAGCTTGAGGCTCCGTCTGAAAAAAAAAAAATAGCCAGGCATTGTGGTGGGCACCTATAATCCCAGCTACTTGAGAGGCTGAGGCAAGAGAATTGCTTAAGCCCAAGAGTTTGAGGTAGCTGTGAGTTGTGATGCCACAGCACTCTACTGAGGGCAGCATAGTGAGGCTCTGTCTCAAAAAAAAAGAGAGAGAGAAAGCACACTCTGGGAACAGTGCCTTACACATAGTAGGTGCTCAAACAAATGTTAATTATTATCATTATCATTGGTGATGTTTTCCATTAATATGAATTGACTCTCTTTGCTCTGATTCTTGCTCTCAGATAACTTTGATTGTAATCCTATGAAGAAGAGAATGCTCAGGGTGGCTGATATCTCAATTCTTTTCTGCATGTAATACTTCTCATTAAAAATCAATCCATTGGTATCCTGTGGGTATCATGAACTCAAGTTACTTCAGTGAGCTTGATTTTCTCTTGGTCTGCCTTAGGTATCGAATGAGAAAAATGATTGTCAACACACACAAAGTGACAAGCCATGTCCTCAGTGAGGCAGTGCCCCCATGAAAGAGCCTATCTATATAGCCAAATAAGCCTCTTCCATGATATTTTTGTCTTTAATTTCACACTTGCATGATCTTCTGAAAACAGCAAACAGCAGAACAATAGGACAGTCTCTGGAACTGTTTCTTTGTTGAGGGAGAAGCATCCTCTTTATGGAGATCACTGGCTCCCAGGCAGGACGGCACCTACCTGCTCTGGATTGAAGATATCATCCATTTGTTGCTATGGATTAATTCTTCTTGCTCTGTGAGTTGCTCCAGAAGTTTCCTTTTCTCTAGCAGCAGGATATCATTTTGGGTAGTGATCTGGTCCTGGAGTACCTTCTCCTAGGGATTAGAAAGTCCCCTAATTACCACGACAGAAGAAAGAAGTATAAATTTAAGAGCATCAGCCCATTTCTAAACTCTAACAAAAAATTTCCCTTGTTCACTTTTTTTCTCCTGTTCTATATTCCACTTATACTTCTTTGCTAACATTGTAATTTCATTATATCTAAATAGTTCTTCTATTTATTTTGGTCACTTTATGTCATGTACATGTATTTTGTTTGGACATTTAATCATGTATTTGTATTAAGATATAAAAATATCTGAGCACTAAACTTCCAGTAAGATCCTAATGTGCTTATCTATATCCCAGCTCTATACATATCAAACCACTGACAAATGTAACTAAATTCTCTGAAACCTCCTATTGAAAAATTTCCCATTTAACATATTTCCCTCTGCTTCATAGCTATATTCTCTTTAAGACAAAGGGAGAAAAATGAGAACATAACTACCTCACATTTGTCAGTGTCAGGATCTCAGCTGGTCTGGAAAATTAAACTTACAAGCCAGGTTCCAAAACTATTCTTGCAATGATAATGCAGAAATGAGTCCTAGCCTGACACGTCGTCGTTATACTTTCTACCAATGATTGTCCCCAAAAGCGGTAGCCACTGAAGTTTTAGCTAAAGTGATAAAGAACTGCATTTTGTGAAAAAAACACTAACATTTTTTTTTTTTTGAGACACAGTCTCATTTGGTCACTCACTTGGTAGAATGCTGTGGCATCTTAGCTCACAGCAACCTCAAATTCTTGGTTTCAAGTGATCCTCCTGCCTTAGCCTCTGTCTCAAAAAAAAAAAAAAGCCTCAAGCTGTCCCCCTGGGTAGAGCCTCAAACTGTCCCCCTGAGTAGAGTGCCGTGGCATCACAGCTCATAGCAACCTCCAACTCCTGGGCTCAAGCGAGTCTCCTGCCTCTGCCTCCCAAGTATCATACTTTTATCATTTACTAGGGTTGATT